TTAGATCGATAATATGATGAAAAGGTAAAAAGGAAGTGACAGCGGTGAGATTCGAACTCACGCCCTTTCGGACCGGTGCCTTAAACCGGCGCCTTAGACCGCTCGGCCACGCTGCCTTGCTTCATTTAGTTTCTAGAAAGAAAACTTCTCAAAAAGTTAGCCCAAATGGAATAAACAGGGCAACATCACCAATGAATAATAATCTGTTTAATGTCCCACTAGTACGTATAGGGGATAATGTGGGCATGAAAATATCATCAGTTGATAGATCTCGTGTCGATCCTTTGACAATATTAGGTAATGCTCGCTTCATTGTTCATTGTACCATATTTTCAACTTTTGTGTCTGTTGGTTTATCAGTTTCAATTAGATCCAAGCCTTTGCTTCTTTTCAGGTGTGGTTGTCAATGTAGATCATAATGGTTTACACACTACTGGTTGTCGTGGTGGTACTATTAACACAAAATATAATCGAAAAGATCTTGAACATTGTGAAACCATTTTAAAACCAACTGCAGTAGATAGTACGTCATTACCACATCGTTCAATTGTAGCTAATGAATCATTAGTTAGTGGTCAAGGACTTTTTCATTGTGACTGTCGTCGTGGTTGTGAAGCCAACAGGTGCAAATGCAAAAAGAACTCTGTTTCATGTAACTCTCGTTGTCATTCATCAATGCCATGTAAAAATAAAACATAATTTGTTGTCTACATAATTCCTTCTTCATAAATCCTTCTTCATTATTAATTAGGGAACTAAATTTTACTTTGTTCAGTTGAAAGAATAACATTTGATCATATCAGTGTGTCGCATTGAAAGAAAAGGGATTAATCGAACATAATTTTAAGAAACAGATTACTAAATTTTACGTTTTTTTTACTACTCTAACTTCCAGCATCAGTTGTCCACATAATTTATCAATTGATTATATTCCAAAAGAAATTTCAATGCCATATACTTAAATTCCCTGAACACTATCAGTGAATGTACAGATTCCCCAGGGAATGTACACATTCCCTACAAATGTTGTGCACATTCCCCGGGGAATCTATATAGGTAGGGCCAGATATTTGCTGCACCCATGAAGAGCTTCAAGGACCAATAGATCAGGTTTGTATTTCAGACGATATACAACCTGAAGATGAGTTTCGTGGGTATTTGTGTATACAATCCCCATAAGTTATAGTTGGAGAAAACAGAATTTGTATAGCTGATTGAGAACGGACGTATTGAAGGTATATTTAGTCGGATGTAGAGTTTTTTTTACATTTATTCTCGACACTCCGTATATGAGGGGACCAGTATAAATCTTCGGAGAGGATTAATCCCAAATGCTTTTGTTCAGAACAAGTCGTAAGGGAACTAAACGTGTAATGGAACAGTAGTTGCAAGTTAAGTGATGTTCTGTGGTAAAAAGTAAAATACCTTTAATAATGTTTTCAATTTCACAGGTAGAGACTGAAATTTTGTGATCGAATTGGACGAGGAACGTAAGGGCTAATCGCAAGGAGAGCAATATTCATGAGGCGACATAATGCAAGTAAAATTTCTTTCATATCGGTTACTACTCATTCGATAATCATTTATGTGACGATGAGATAGTCTAAGGTATCTACCATCAGAATCCATGCTGATTTGCATCGACTGTTTAGAAGAAAGATTTTTAAAGTCTTGAGAAAATGATTTTTCGCTTGATAACCTTCAATCATGTATTATAGCGAAGAAAAGTTGGAAAATTTCGCGAAGCAGCTTTCGAATTGTAAGATCTTCCAAAACTTTTCAAAATAAAATCAAAGAAACCTGCCTTTGTCAACCTCTAGATGCGTCAGGTATCTTCAATTTAAGCCGAAATAACAAAATTGTGTAGCTTCTAATACCTTCATTTTGACCTTCATAACAACGACTTAACGAATTGCTTCATCCCGACTTAAAAATATTATCTAAATGCATCCAAACTTTTATCACTTTTCACTTCATTACTGTTAAATTGGATGTTCTGTTACATGCAGCCTTAGAAGAGATTATACTGTGTTAGCCATGCTAAAGAGGCATTTTCGCATTTTTAATCCTTGCAGGGTGTCTACCATAGCTGTGTCATACTATTAGGTATAATTTTATTTGTTGGTCTTGAATATGGTATTTTTTCCGGATGAAAAAGAAAATCTTGAGAAAAATAAACGCGTTTGTTATTATTGTGATTCAATACTATTGTCGGTAAAAAAAAGAATGGACTCGGATGTTTTTTGAATAACGTCGGACAAAAATGTGGTAGATGCTTGCGGTCTTCATTAATCGAGAGCTAGGATCTAACTGCATCTTTTCATAATGAAAGTTATTTTCAAAATCTTTTCTTAAAGCAGGTTTTTCAGGACATCTTTGGAAAACAGGTCATTGCTCACAAACTTGAAATACAATTGGTTTGATTTTTTTCCAACCATGCCAATTTTCGACCAAGCTGAGTCTTGTGGTAGTCTCTGTTTAACGATTTAAAAACCTTTTTACATATGAACTATCGGCACCTGTACTTAACCTAAGCTGTTATAACTACTGTGCTACCTTAAAACTACTCCACTTTATTTTAAACCAGTAGAATGTTGCATAAACATGAATGAAATGAAACTGTTATCCAATTGTGTCATATTCTAAATCCTCTTGTATTATGTATTTGTCCATTTCTTCAGCGATCTTATCTGCCGCTTTGAACGTTTCCTCATAATTTTGTGCATGCTGTATAAAACGCGTAATTAATTCTGCGGATCATGCAGCCATGTATGCTTGAGATAATGTCGTAACATCCGTAAGAGTAAAATTATTATTCTTATTTCGAATAAAATCTTTGAGCTCGGCTTAGGCTAATTCTATGGGGTTGAGAACACAATGCTTTATCGGTAATCGTAGAATCTCAACTCTGAATTCTTTCGCCGCCTCATCGACTTTGAGTCTCTTTTCTGGTGCATAAGCAACTGCTAGCTCGAGTAATTCTGCTTTGGTATACAAGTTCAAATAAGGCACCTTGTGATCATCTAACCATTGTACAATCTCTGACTTTTTCCATGCACACTTTGGTAATTTTGTCTCATCGGTCTGCTCATTATGGCATGTGGCATTATGAATAATAGTGCATATTTTAGCGTCATCTAAATATAAAACAGTAGTGTAGTTCTAGATTCACCGAAACCTTGCTCAGTTATGTCATTTACCATTTTCACCTCTTAATGTACACGAAGTTTCCCAAAGCCATTTAACAAAACGACTTGAATCCATACTGTGCACTTCATTACATTCAAAAATATCAACTGATGGTAAATGAAAACCTGCACTACTTATCATTGGACTTATTGCTATACGTCTTCCTGAATTTGCATAAGACACGATGTTATCGAGAAGAACGAAAACTTCTAACTCGGCTACATACCTCTTCCATCGCCTGAACGTATTCTGCCATACCCCGTACTATCTAACCAAATATGTCGCTTCTCCTCACCACTATTCATCTAAGTAGCTTTTGATGTTTTGGCATAAATAAATCCAATTTCTTTCATATTTTTTGATAAAGTTGGTCTGCTGTGGATCGGAAAATCAGAAAAATCTGCTCGTAACCGTCCCAATAGTTTCTCCAATGTTGGATATTCCTTCTCAGGAAGTAATAGGTGGAAATGATATCTAATCATATCTTGCCGTGTTCTGACAGGCGAATTTCATGCCGACCGGAATGAGCTTTTTTCGTTGGAGAATGTGGCATCGAAGTCTTGAGTTGAGATGCAAAAAAACTATCGGTTGTTGTTATCGTCGATGATGATCGAAGTTTTATTGTAGCTGCGTTGGTTGCTTCGTTCTCAATATCCCCCATTTCTTTTTTCAAATTGAATATGGTACTGTGTGAAACACCGAGCATCAACTGTAGGCGTTCAGTGACATTATTCAGTGGAATCGATGAACCATCTTTTTCATTAGAAACAAAATTGATTACTCGAAACATTACCTCTTTCACATCCCTAGAAAATTCGTTCCCTTTAGGCATTGTCTAGACGAAAAAGTTTTGATAAGTTTAACGTGTTTTTCTTCTTGATGATTTCAACATAAGCGTACGTCTCCCGTCTCTTCATTTAATCAGATTTTCTTTGAATTCCACTCACACTACATTCCTTCTTTTCTTTCTGGCTTCATTCTCGCGCCTTTTTACAGTTTGTATCATTTTTTAGAATAAGTGTCTATATAATGATAAGAACAAAAAATGAAGGACACTGATTCCGTGCTCAAGAAAGTGAAAATGTTTTTCGTTCCAAATTTTGCTGCACTCAATGTTCTGGTGCATAGTTCATGATAAAATATGACACAATTGGATAACAGTTTCATTTCATTCATGTTTATGCAACATTCTACTGGTTTAAAATAAAGTGGAGTAGTTTTAAGGTAGCACAGTAGTTATAACAGCTTAGGTTAAGTACAGGTGCCGATAGTTCATATGCAAAAAGGTTTTTAAATCGTTAAACAGAGACTACCACGAGACTCAGCATGGTCGATAACCCCTGTCTAGAGTCATGTGAGATTCCCACGTGTGAGAAAAGACCAGTTCTGGGCCTCCCGGAAAATTCTATGCCAGGCCTAAGCGATCACATATGAGAGCCTTCCTTGACTCCCATTTTGAAGAGGACACTTTGGACTATCTATCTACGGAAAAAAATCAAACCAATTGTATTTCAAGTTTGTGAGCAATGACCTGTTTTCCAAAGATGTCCTGAAAAATCTGCTTTAAGAAAAGATTTTGAAAATAACTTTCATTATGAAAAGATGCAGTTAGATCCTAGCTCTCGATTAATGAAGACCGCAAGCATCTACCACATTTCTGTCCAACGTTATTCAAAAAACATCCGAGTCCATTCTTTTTTTTTTACCGACAATAGTAGAATTTTCTGCATCTGGTGGCCTATTTAACAGCAATGTACATTTCGCTTGATGCAACTCTCTGTAGCGTTGGGTTAACTGTTGAACTTTCTCGAAACATCTATTTGCTTTGTTTTGTAAGTCCATCGTCGCTTGTAACAAGTAGTCAGCAATATTCCTTGTTAGGTTTATGTTTAAATCTTCATCAATATCAAATACACCACCTTTCATTATTTTGTCATACTTCATTGACCAGTCATGATAATTCTGCACATAATGAGAAAATATATAAACACTGTCCAACTGATCACAATTTTCAACTCGGGGACCAATATCATGTGCTGTGATGAGTCTATTTATTACTCCGAATATTTATTCGCACCAAAGATAGAACAATACAATAAAGTACAATACACTAAACGCTACGAATACAAATGAGAGGAAATCTTCACTATATATACGCGCGTTCGAGGATTGCGTAGACATACGCAACATAGAAGTTTCAATGA